GCTCTTATTCTACTGAGCTATCTCCCCGGCCCCAAGTTATTTTATTTTGAAGAGTAAAAACAAAGACAAGAACAACAGTCAGAAACAGGGCAACATACAACAGTACTTATGTTACAGATTTTCAAGATGAGAATAGCGGACTAACAATGGCTGATGTATTTTCTATTTTTATTGTCAAATCTATTGCTCAGATTAACAGATATAGTTACGTAAGATTGGACATATGATTGAATATTATTTTTCAAAGGGTAAAATTAATATTTTATTGTTATTTATAATCAGATGGCAGTTGGGTATATAGTTTCCATACTTACTTTTTTGTAAATTAAAAAAAAATTAAGTTTTAAACAGCTGTAGTTACGTTCTTCAGAAAACACAGACTAACTCATTAATGGTAGCTTCAAGCTTCTCCTTATTAGCACCAGAAAACTCACTCACCTTCTCCCCCTTTTTAAAAAACTGGAAGGTTGGCATGTGCTTGACTTCACAATCTGCAGCAACGTCCTGACAGTCATCCACGTCTACTTCAAGGAACAACACGATGGAATATTTTTCAGACAGGGAATGAAAGAAAGGCTTGATCATTTTGCAAGGCCCACACCGCATGGCTGAGAAATCAACTACTGCAAGTTTATCTCCGGCAGCAGCCAGGGCTTCCTGAAAGGCCTCTTTGCTTTCGATCTGCTGCACCATGCTGGCTGCCGGGGACCTGACGAGCTACCGAAGCAAACGATGGAAACAGATGGAAGGCGCGGGATAGATAGAGCTCCTATGATTGAATATTATGACTTGCTTTCAAGAAATCTTAACTATTTGTTATTGTCTCTCTTTTTAATATTATTATCTTTTCTTAAAAATTTATTTTATTTTACTTTCCCATAATTTTATTGAGAAACAAATAGCAGTGAGACAGTTTCAAGTCAGATTGGTAGGAGAGTTTCAATAATTAACACATTGCATACTCTCTTCCTAGTGGTTATTTGTTGTACAAGATGCAGACATGTTATCCTATTTACAAACACTATTAGAACAAATCCCTCTATTCACTGAATTAAGAGAATGTAGTTATATATCATATCCTAGCCATTTTGAATACACAGATACAAAATGGTCATTCATCTGTATCCCCTTTTTTTGTTTAGT